CAACCTTATTTGAAGTAATTGCCCTTGAAATAATAAGTTTCCACAATTTTTATGTTCTTGGTAATAGTGAGTGTCATATTGAAAACAATTTCAGATAAAGATAAATTTTAAACAGCAAAACAGTAGTATGGATCCTTATATGAGTTATTGCCCTTGAAAGACAACATTTTAATAGAATTTAGAGTTTCTTGTAGAAAATATGATAGATGGAGAGACACTTTAAGTGGTAAATATGTTCAGCTAAGTAAGATCTGTGAATAAGCTTACATGACCGAAATAGTCAATTGATCCTTTATCCTGTTTATAGCAGTTTTTGCCCTTGAAAATTTTTTTTTACCTAAAATTATGATTTTTGCAGAAACAATGATAGAAAGAGAGAAACTTTAACATGTTTAAGTGATAAATATGTTCAGCAAAGTAAGATCTGCGAATAGAACTTACAGTATTTAAATCATTAATTGATCCTTTAAAGCAGTTATTTCCCTTGAATGAATATTTTACCCAATTTTTTTAATTTTTTGCAGAAACTATGATAGGTACAGAAAACTTTTAACTGCACAAATTTATATAAGACATATATTTTTAAATAAGTCAACATGACCACTTAATTTAAAAATTATTGGAGCTAGCTAAAATACAAGTGTAAATTAGAAAAAAATGATCAGCTTGACAAGATGTACAAATTTATCCACCAAGGAATAAAAAGATTACTTTATTGTTATATATTGCCCCTGAAATACCTATTTTTCTTACTTTTAGGAGTTTTTATGCCCCATTTATGGGCATTATGTTTTTCAGTCTGTGCGTCCGTTCCTTCGTCCGTTCGTATGTCTGTCTGTCCCGCTTCAGGTTAAAGTTTTTGGTCTTTCAGGTTAAAGTTTTTGGTCAAGGTAGTTTTTGATGAAGTTGAAGTCCAATCAACTTGAAACTTAGTACACATGTTTCCTATGATATGATTGTTCTAATATTAATGCCAAATTAGAGTTTTTACCCCAATTTCACGGTCCACTGAACATAGAAAATGATAGTGCAAGTGGGGCATCTTTGTACTATGGACACATTCTTGTTTGCTGTCATTTGAAAACTGTAGGAGATAGACCTGTTAAAAGTGTTGTCTGCAAAAATGATCAGCATGACAAGATCTATGTCATGTATGTCCTTAACGGTATTTTTAACATTGATTTCTGATTTTGGAGTTATTGCCCCTGAAACGTTGATATTTACTGTTTTTTTACAGTTTGGCTTGATATCTATTAACTTATACATATATGTTAGGTTAAACCTGTTAAATGCAAAAGTGATCAGCAACACAATTAAACAGTACCTATATATATACAGCTGTATAGTATGTGCATTTAAAAGTCCTAGTAAACTGGTGTTTTTTTACCAGGTGAGTGATACAAAGCCTCTTGTTTCAAAACAACTTTTGCCATAATTCAGTTTTTTAGACATTTCTATTTGTAACTTATTTTCATAGAAATTGATCCAATATCCACCCATTTATCATGTTTAGGTGGAAATCAAATTTCTGGCCTTACATCATGTACATTGATGCAATATTCCGGGTTATTTCGAAAAACCTTCATCAGAGACAATCCCTTTTGTTTTTTTTTTTTGTTTTTATGCCCCCGCCGTAGCAGAGGGGTCATTAAGTTTTCCCCTTGTCCGTCCGTACGTCCCAAAGTTAGTTTCCGTTCTCTAACTTTAGTTTTCCTCCACCAAATGTTACGAAACTTATACACAATACTTATTATTACAAAATACAGATCAAGTTTGAATTTTGGTGGTGTCACTTTAACCTTTATAGAGTTATGCCCCTTTACAAATGGAGAAATTGCTGAATTGTTCGTTTCCGTTCTCTAACTTAAGTGAGCCTCAACCAAATGTTATGAAACTTATACACAATGCTTATTACCACTAAACACAAATCAAGTTTGAATTTTGGTGGCGTCACTTTAACCGTTCTAGAGTTATGCCCCTTTACAAATGGAAAAATTGCTGAATTTTTCGTTTCGGTTCTCTAACGTAAGTTTGCCTCAACCAAATGTTATAAAACTTATACACAATACTTATTACTACAAAACTCAGATTAATAACAAATTTGGGTAGCGTCACTTTTACTGTTCTTCAGTTATGTCCCTTTATAACTTTAAATGATATATTTGCAAGTGGGGCATCATCTGTGCCCCATGGACACATTCCCCATTTTTTTCATTTATTACAGTTTTAATTTTTAATTTTTATACGACTGCAAAAATTTTTGCGGTCGTATATTGGTATGACGTTGGCGTCGTCGTCGTCGTCGTTGTCGTTGTCGTCGTCGTCGTCGTCGTCCGAAGACACATTGGTTTTCGCACTCTAACTTTAGTTTAAGTGAATGGATCTCTTTGACATTTTACCATAAGGTTAAATACCACAAAAGGAAGGTTGGGATTGATTTTAGGGGTTATGGTACCAATAGTTAAGGAATTAGGGGCCAAAAAGGGGCCAAAAATAAGCATTTTCTAGTTTCCAGACAATAACTGTGGAATGGTGTATGGATCTCTCTGAAATTATTTAAAACAGTGTAAGGGAGGTAATACAAATACAACGTTTTGGTTATTTCCCTTACACTGCTTTTAAATTATGTTTAAAGAAATGCATATTTCTAAAGGAAGACCAGTAAAAATATCTGCAAATGTTGCATCTTTTTTTTTTTTTTTTTTTTTAAATCCATATGAAAGATTTGACACCATATTTTAAATTCTATTATAAAATAGATTAAGTTAGCACTATGGTAAATTTAAATGGGTTATTATGGTTGCAAATTCCATTGGATATCGAATTGAGATTATGACCATATATTGATGGAAAGAATTTTTTTGGGGAATAAGGAGGGAGGGGGGGGGGGGGGGGGGGGTAATTGAATTGTTGGGGTTCTTTGATATGCTAAATCTAACCGTGTTTTTAGATTTTTTATTTTGGGTCCCGTTTTTTAAATTGGTCTACAATAAGGTCCAAAGAGGCCAAAATTAAACTTAGTTTGATTTTAACAAAAATTGAATTCTTGGGGTTCTTTGATATGCTGAATCTTAACATGTGTTTAGATTTTTGATTATGGGCCCAGTTTTCAAGTTGGTCCAAATTGGGGTCCAAAATTAAACTTTGTTTGATATCAACAAAAATTGAATATATGGGGTTCTTTGATATGCTGAATCTAACCATGAATTTAGATTTTTTATTTGTGGACCCCGCTATCAAATTGGTTCATATTGAGGTCAAAAGGGTCCAAAATTAAACTTCGTTTGATTTCATCAAAAATTGAATTATTGGGGTTCTTTGATATTCCAAATCTAACCGTGTATTTAGATTTTTAATTTTGGGTCCTGTTTTTTAAATTGGTCTACATTAAGGTCCAAAGGGTCCAAAATTAAACTTAGTTTGATTTTAACAAAAATTGAATTCTTGGGGTTCTTTGATATGCTAAATCTAAACATGTGTTTAGATTTTTGATTATGGGCCTAGTTTTCAAGTTGGTCCAAGTTGGGATCCAAAATTTAACTTTCTTTGATTTCAACAAAAATTGAATATATGGGGTTCTTTGATATGCTGAATCTAAACATGTATTTAGATTTTAGATTTTGGGCCCTGTTATCAAAATTGATCCAAATTGGGGTCCAAAATTAAACTTTGTTTGATTTCAACAAAAATTGAATACATGGGGTTCTTTGATATCCTGAATCTAACCATGTATTTAGATTTTTTATTTATGGGCCCGCTATCAAATTGGTTCATATTGAGGTCAAAAGGGTCCAAAATTAAACTTTGTTTGATTTCATCAAAAATTGACTTATTGGGGTTCTTTGATATGCCAAATCTAACCGTGTATTGAGATTTTTAATTTTGGGTCCCGTTTTTTTAAATTGGTCTACATTAAGGTCCAAAGGGTCTAAAATTAAACTTAGTTTGATTTTAACAAAAATTGAATTCTTGAGGTTCTTTGATATGCTGAATCTAAACATGTGTTTAGATTTTTGATTATGGGTCCAATTTTCAAGTTTGTCCAAGTTGGGATCCAAAATTAAACTTTGTTTGATTTCAACAAAAATTGAATATATGGGGTTCTTTGATATGCTGAATCTAACCATGTATTTTGATTTTGGACATTGGACCATAATAGGTAAATTAAAAAAATTCAAGTTCTTAGACCACATTCTTTCTGTGTCAGAAACCTATGCTGTGTCAAATATTTAATCACAATCCAAATTCAGAGCTGTATCAAGCTTAAATGTTGTGTCCATATTTGCCCCAACTGTTCAGGGTTCGACCTCTGCGGTCGTATCAAGCTGCGCCTAGCGAAGCATTTTATTTAAATAGTTTTTGAATTGGTTCTTTTGAATTTGTTAATTAGAATTTGCATTTTAATTTTTTTTTTTTCAAACAATTTTAACCAATGTTGAATTAAGTGTTTCATAGTAAGGCAGTGTGGTCTTAAGAATATCAGTTTACATGTGTTGTTTACATGATGGTCATTAATTAGTTCTGCACAGTTAAATGTTAGTAGGAACTGTGAGGTTTATATAAATTTTTTTATAGCTTTGTTTCACTTATTCACCAATGTTTCTATTTATTTTGAATCCTATTGATAGGTTTTATGGAATTTGGCACCTATTGTAGAACTTGTTTTAATAAGATGCAAGTATTTCCTGAATACTTTTTGAAGTTTTCTGCTTGAGAATGATAATTTGTAATGAATGGTATATTATATCCATTTTCAACTTCCTTCCTTTTCTAGACATAATTTCATAGAAATTGATCCAATATCCACCTATTTAGGTGAGAATCATATCTCTGGTCTAATTTCATAGACAAAATTTCATTGAAGTTGATTCAATGTCCACCCATTTAAGTGCAAATCACCATTTTAAATTGTGCTTTCAAGCAGTTCATATGTAAAAAAAAAAGCTATGGATGATAAACATTTTCAGCATGAGGTTTAGGCCATTCTGTTCTTATTTCAGATTGACATTTATCCATAGGACATGCAGTTAGCCTAGACAAATATGAAGAGAAAGGTCTCTGATTCAATTCTCTGTGAAGTTCAAGGACTTTCTTAGTCAAATATGGGAAGATGTGAAAGGTAAGTTTGAAAATTTGTAAGTGTGCAAAAATATGTTATGTCTAACAAAATGTGCTGGTTCACAATTAAAATACTATCAAAACAACTCCTGATTGCTCAACATTAAACTTCTGAATTGTCCATGAATCATCTTCACGATTGTCCCACATTATTTGCTCACCTGACTGGTTTGGTCAAGTAAGCTATTTTCATCACTTGGCATCAGTCATCCATTATTTTTGTACAAAAATCATCTCCTTTAATCACTGCAGGGCTCAACAATAATGCGTGTTGATTGTCCGGTACCAGAGGGAAAAAAAATCGGACAAAGCCATATGAAGCTTGTCCGACGGTACAAGTTAAATCATTCTGTAGAAAAAAAATATTAAATCCAACTTTGACAATAAAAGTAATTACAAAAAAACAATAAAAGAAGATAAAAGCAATTATTAATTTGACACGTTTACTTGCAACCAATAATTTAATACTGGTTCTTTGTCAGATACTTTTTAACAGATAAAACGCATACTATCGCATACTCTCTACGAATCCGGTCTTACTGCTTTGTAGATAAGGTAGTAACAAGACAGTTTGGCACCAGCACGGAAACGAATCGGCTCCATGTGTAATCGACAGTTTGGCACTGTAGGAGATATTTTGGGACCAAGACAACCCAGTACCTCATTTCCTTTCCTTATTCTCTTGCTTTTTAATAAATATGATAAATTTTATTTATCAAAAATATTTTTAAAATAAACATGAATAAATTATTGAATATTTAATTCAGAAAATTATATTTGATCATATGAAGACAAAACAATATTTGATTGCGTTTGAATAAACATTTTAATATATTAAAACAGCTGATTGTAGTCAGTCAGGGGACTTTCTTAAATGAGTGATTTTCTAAATCACTGATTCAAGTAACATTATGTCCATCAAGGTAAGAAGTAAGAGTTCATTATGTAAAGCCATTTATATAGCATTTTTTCAACTAAAATAGAATTTGCAGCTAAATGATTGCATCGAAGGCATAAACCTTGCTGCTTAAAAGAAGCAAAAAGTTAATTTTTTTCAATTTTACTATTGAAATGAAAAGATATCTAAACCTATGTGTTTAAAATTTTGGTAAAACTACAAAATCACAATTTGTGACAAAACTTCGAATTTGCTACTTAAATAAGTGATTTAAAAATCACTTATTTCAATATGTCCCCTGACTGGTAGTAGGGCATCAATCATAATAATCAATATTTTTAACATAAAAGACCAGGATACAAACCAAATGAGTGTATTATGACTAGCAGGCCTACCAGACTGTGCATCGTGTGCTGAGTCGGATGAGACTTTGGCTTTGATGAATACTAGATTTAGTTGTTCTCGACTCATATTTTGAAAAGGATATCAAGAGATAATAATCAAATTATGTTCCATTGTTTTAACTCATTTTGTTCATTGAATCAGCTTAAAGTGCAAAAAAGGTCAATATTAAGTTTTTTTTGGGCAAGTTACAATTCAATAAGGTGGTCAAGTCCACAAGTCACATTGATGACATATTAATATATGTACAAGGTGACCAGAGGTAACCAAATTAAATGAGTGTGTAATGTGACCAGAGCATCATTGTAACTGGACCAGAGGTAAACATAGTCAATATGTGTCCAAGGTGACCAGAGGTAACCTAAGTCAATATATGAACAGCGGTGTGAGGTGACCAGAGGTAACAAGAGTCAATATTGGTCCGGGAACACAGTTATCGTCCCTTGATTTTCGTTGTCTACGAATATAGTCCCTAGTGTAGACAGTGTGTTACTTGCTATTTTTTTATACCCTTTCCAAATTTTTTTCTTCATGTTTTATGTCTCAAATAGCAAGTAGGGGGATGAAACTACACTGTAAAAATATTTGGGTCATGAACTTTAAAGTAAGGTAGTGTAAGGTGATTAAAGGTAACAAAAATAAATATATTTATTAGGAAATCAGAGGTAAACAAAATAAACATATGTGTTAATAAGGTGGCTAGACAAAACCGACGTTTATATCTGTGTAAGGTGACCAGAGGAAATTTCAATCAATATCTGTGTAAGATGACCCAAGGTTACTAACATCAATATATGTGTTTGGTGACCAGAAGTAACCAAAGAGAATGATTGTGTTATGTGATCATTATTGTAAGGTGACCAGAGGTCAACATAGTGAATATATGTAAAAGGTGACCAGAGGTAACCAAATTAAATGAGTGTGTAATGTGACCAGAGCATCATTGTAACTGGACCAGAGGTAAACATAGTCAATATGTGTCCAAGGTGACCAGAGGTAACCTAAGTCAATATATGAACAGCGGTGTAAGGTGACCAGAGGTAACCAGAGTCAATATTGGTCCGGGAACACAGTTATCGTCCCTTTATTTTCGTTGTCTACGAATATAGTCCCTAGTGTGGACAGTGTGTTACTTGCAATTTTTTTATACCCTTTTCAAATTTATTTCTTCATGTTTAATGCCTCAAATAGCAAGTAGGGGGATGAAACTACACTGTAAAAATATTTGGGTCATGAATTTTAAAGTAAGGTAGTGTAAGGTGATTAGAGGTAACAAAAATAAATATATTTATTAGGAAATCAGAGGTAGACAAAATAAAAATATGTGGTAATAAGGTGGCTAGACAAAACCGACGTTTATATCTGTGTAATGTGACCAGAGGAAATTTTAGTCAATATCTGTGTAAGATGACCCAAGGTAACTAACATCAATATATGTGTTTGGTGACCAGAAGTAACCAAAGAGAATGATTGTGATATGTGATCATTATTGTAAGGTGACCAGAGGTCAACATAGTGAATATATGTACAAGGTGACCAGAGGTAACCAAATTAAATGAGTGTGTAATGTGACCAGAGCATCATTGTAACTGGACCAGAGTTAAACATAGTCAATATGTGTCCAAGATGACCAGAGGTAACCTAAGTCAATATATGAACAGCGATGTAAGGTGACCAGAGGTAACCAGAGTCAATATTGGTCCGGGAACACAGTTATCGTCCCTTTATTTTCGTTGTCTACGAATATAGTCCCTAGTGTGGACAGTGTGTTACTTGCAATTTTTTTATACCCTTTTCAAATTTATTTCTTCATGTTTTATGCCTCAAATAGCAAGTAGGGGGATGAAACTACACTGTAAAAATATTTGGGTCATGAACTTTAAAGTAAGGTAGTGTAAGGTGATTAGAAGTCACAAAAATAAATATATTTATTAGGAAATCAGAGGTAAACAAAATAAAAATATATATTAATAAGGTGGCTAGACAAAACCGACGTTTATATCTGTGTAATGTGACCAGAGGAAATTTTAGTCAATATTTGTGTAAGATGACCCAAGGTAACTAACATCAATATATGTGTTTGGTGACCAGAAGTAACCAAAGAGAATGATTGTGTTATGTGATCATTATTGTAAGGTGACAAGAGGTCAACATAGTGAATATATGTACAAGGTGACCAGAGGTAACCAAATTAAATGAGTGTGTAATGTGACCAGAGCATCATTGTAACTGGACCAGAGTTAAACATAGTCAATATGTGTCCAAGATGACCAGAGGTAACCTAAGTCAATATATGAACAGCGATGTAAGGTGACCAGAGGTAACCAGAGTCAATATTGGTCCGGGAACACAGTTATCGTCCCTTTATTTTCGTTGTCTACGAATATAGTCCCTTGTGTGGACAGTGTGTTACTTGCTATTTTTTTATTCCCTTTTCAAATGTATTTCTTCATGTTTTATGTCTCAAATAGCAAGTAGGGGGATGAAACTACACTGTAAAAATATTTGGGTCATGAACTTTAAAGTAAGGTAGTGTAAGGTGATTAAAGGTAACAAAAATAAATATATTTATTAGGAAATCAGAGGTAAACAAAATAAACATATGTGTTAATAAGGTGGCTAGACAAAACCGACGTTTATATCTGTGTAAGGTGACCAGAGGAAATTTCAATCAATATCTGTGTAAGATGACCCAAGGTTACTAACATCAATATATGTGTTTGGTGACCAGAAGTAACCAAAGAGAATGATTGTGTTATGTGATCATTATTGTAAGGTGACCAGAGGTCAACATAGTGAATATATGTAAAAGGTGACCAGAGGTAACCAAATTAAATGAGTGTGTAATGTGACCAGAGCATCATTGTAACTGGACCAGAGGTAAACATAGTCAATATGTGTCCAAGGTGACCAGAGGTAACCTAAGTCAATATATGAACAGCGGTGTAAGGTGACCAGAGGTAACCAGAGTCAATATTGGTCCGGGAACACAGTTATCGTCCCTTTATTTTCGTTGTCTACGAATATAGTCCCTAGTGTGGACAGTGTGTTACTTGCAATTGTTTTATACCTTTTCAAATTTATTTCTTCATGTTTAATGCCTCAAATAGCAAGTAGGGGGATGAAACTACACTGTAAAAATATTTGGGTCATGAATTTTAAAGTAAGGTAGTGTAAGGTGATTAGAGGTAACAAAAATAAATATATTTATTAGGAAATCAGAGGTAAACAAAATAAAAATATGTGGTAATAAGGTGGCTAGACAAAACCGACGTTTATATCTGTGTAAGGTGACCAGAGGAAATTTTAGTCAATATCTGTGTAAGATGACCCAAGGTAACTAACATCAATATATGTGTTTGGTGACCAGAAGTAACCAAAGAGAATGATTGTGTTATGTGATCATTATTGTAAGGTGACCAGAGGTCAACATAGTGAATATATGTACAAGGTGACCAGAGGTAACCAAATTAAATGAGTGTGTAATGTGACCAGAGCATCATTGTAACTGGACCAGAGTTAAACATAGTCAATATGTGTCCAAGATGACCAGAGGTAACCTAAGTCAATATATGAACAGCGATGTAAGGTGACCAGAGGTAACCAGAGTCAATATTGGTCCGGGAACACAGTTATCGTCCCTTTATTTTCATTGTCTACGAATATAGTCCCTAGTGTGGACAGTGTGTTACTTGCAATTTTTTTATACCCTTTTCAAATTTATTTCTTCATGTTTTATGCCTCAAATAGCAAGTAGGGGGATGAAACTACACTGTAAAAATATTTGGGTCATGAATTTTAAAGTAAGGTAGTGTAAGGTGATTAGAAGTCACAAAAATAAATATATTTATTAGGAAATCAGAGGTAAACAAAATAAAAATATATATTAATAAGGTGGCTAGACAAAACCGACGTTTATATCTGTGTAATGTGACCAGAGGAAATTTTAGTCAATATTTGTGTAAGATGACCCAAGGTAACTAACATCAATATATGTGTTTGGTGACCAGAAGTAACCAAAGAGAATGATTGTGTTATGTGATCATTATTGTAAGGTGACAAGAGGTCAACATAGTGAATATATGTACAAGGTGACCAGAGGTAACCAAATTAAATGAGTGTGTAATGTGACCAGAGCATCATTGTAACTGGACCAGAGTTAAACATAGTCAATATGTGTCCAAGATGACCAGAGGTAACCTAAGTCAATATATGAACAGCGATGTAAGGTGACCAGAGGTAACCAGAGTCAATATTGGTCCGGGAACACAGTTATCGTCCCTTTATTTTCGTTGTCTACGAATATAGTCCCTTGTGTGGACAGTGTGTTACTTGCTATTTTTTTATACCCTTTTCAAATGTAGTTCTTCATGTTTTATGCCTCAAATAGCAAGTAGGGGGATGAAACTACACTGTAAAAATGTTTGGGTCATGAATTTTAAAGTAAGGTAGTGTAAGGTGATTAGAGGTAACAAAAAATAAATATATTTATTAGGAAATCAGAGGTAAACAAAATAAACATATGTGTTAATAAGGTGGCTAGACAAAACCGACGTTTATATCTGTGTAAGGTGACCAGAGGAAATTTTAGTCAATATCTGTGTAAGATGACCCAAGGTAACTAACATCAATATATGTGTTTGGTGACCAGAAGTAATCAAAGAGAATGATTGTGATATGTGATCATTATTGTAAGGTGACCAGGGGTCAAGATAGTGAATATATGTACAAGGTGACCAGAGGTAACCAAATTAAATGAGTGTGTAATGTGACCAGAGCATCATTGTAACTGGACCAGAGGTAAACATAGTCAATATGTGTCCAAGGTGCCAAAGAGCCAAATTGAATACGTGTGTAATATGACCAGGACATAATTGTAAGGTGACCAGAGGTCAACATAGTGAATATATGTACAAGGTGACCAGAGGTAACCAAATTAAATGAGTGTGTAATGTGACCAGAGCATCATTGTAACTGGACCAGAGGTAAACATAGTCAATATGTGTCCAAGGTGACCAGAGGCAACCTAAGTCAATATATGAACAGCGGTGTAGGGTGACCAGAGGTAACAAGAGTCAATATTGGTCCGGGAACACAGTTATCGTCCCTTGATTTTCGTTGTCTACGAATATAGTCCCTAGTGTAGACAGTGTGTTACTTGCTATTTTTTTATACCCTTTCCAAATTTATTTCTTCATGTTTTATTTCTCAAATAGCAAGTAGGGGGATGAAACTACACTGTAAAAATATTTGGGTCATGAATTTAAAAGTAAGGTAGTGTAAGGTGATTAGAGGTAACACAAATAAATATATTTATTAGGAAATCAGAGGTAAACAAAATAAACATATGTGTTAATAAGGTGTCTAGACAAAACCGACGTTTATATCTGTGTAAGGTGACCAGAGGAAATTTTAGTCAATATCTGTGTAAGATGACGCAAGGTAACTAACATCAATATATGTGTTTGGTGACCAGAAGTAACCAAAGAGAATGATTGTGTTATGTGATCATTATTGTGAGGTGACCAGAGGTCAACATAGTGAATATATGTACAAGGTGACCAGAGGTAACAAAATTATATTAGTGTGTAATGTGACCAGAGCATCATTGTAATTGGACCAGAGGTAATACATTGATGTGTAAGATGACCCAAGGTAACTAACATCAAGATATGTGTTTGGTGACCAGAAGTAACCAAAGAGAATGATTGATGTTAGTTACCTTGTGTCATCTTACACAGATATTGACTAAAATTTCCTCTGGTCACCTTACACAGATATAAACGTCGGTTTTGTCTAGCCACCTTATTAACACATATTTTTATTTTGTTTACCTCTGATTTCCTAATAAATATATTTATTTGTGTTACCTCTAATCACCTTACTTGACACCTTATCCATATCCTTTAAGCAGTAGGTCATATATTTGGTGTATGAAGTGATTGTAAGGTATACATATGCAACTGACAGGTATCATCTGACCTTGACCTCAATTTCCTGGTTCATTGCACAATGTTTAGTTTTTGTGGTTGGGTCTATCTCTCAGATAATAGTAGCAATAAGGCCACTATATTGGTGTATGAAATGATTGCAAGTTGTATTTGCTTGACTGGTTAAACTGACCGTGACTTCATTTTCATGGATCATTTATGGATCAAGTTTATGCGATAATTGTAGTAAAAGCGTCATATTTTCAATCATAAGTAAAGCAGGCATGACATTTGTGAATGTATTGCACTCTTGTTGAAATATTTTCTATGCCCCAAAAATATTATGTCATGTATGTGTGTTTCCAGTTGCATGTAAAAAAAATATAGGGTGAGTAGGTCAGGATATTTTCTTACTAATTTCATAGTGAAGTTCTTTGAACTTTTGTTCAAATGTTTTGAAGTTTGAAACTGTCATGAATGTTTGTATATTATGTATATATATTAGATTTATGGTTGTATTTATATAATCAAGTGTACTGCAAGCACACATTAGCTGGCCAATTGTTTATTAGCATTCATGTTCACAAATAGTGCAAATTAGGGACATATGCTAAGGAAGAATTTTTGATTTTTGATTTTTTTGTCAGAGCCGATAAATTAGGGTAGGACAACAAATCGGAACACATCTTTTTTGTTGTTAGCCCTATTTAAAAAACTATAGTAAAGAGAGGGAAACAGTTTGAATAGTAAAAATGATCAACACGATAACATCTACAAATAAGTCACATGGCCAAAATCTACAGTTGAGTTATTGCCTGTCAGTGATGTTTTCTTCCTTTAATTTTATGATAGAAAAATAGAACTTTAAAAAGCAAAAATGATGATCGTGAGCTTTAGATCTTTTTCAAAATCCAGGTTGATTTGAAAAAGTTATAGAAATGTTTAAAGGTGACTGTCAGAATTTGGTTCAAACTGAAAATTGTAGCTTTTATACCTATTAATTGAATCCTTAAGTTTGACAACAATAAACCAAATTATAAAATAACCTTATCAATACATAATTGATATAGATGGGCTGATTTGTAACCAGTCGAGACTAAAGGAGTAGGTTCGATAACACACTAAAACAGCCCCTATTTATCATGTTTATAGCTACAATTTCAAATTAGGATTTATTGACCAATATCAAAATGAATCATAGCTAATACAATGACTAGATAGAAAATATGTCTTTTTGTTGAAAATTTACGTACTTGCGTTCTATCCATGACGTCACAGATAGCACTCACTTTGATTTTCAACAAAAATTCAATGAAAACGGGTAAATTTCCATTGATTTTGTGGACAGGAAACATAGAGCACATGCGTCGACAAAAAAGCTTTGTTTAACAAAATGTTTGTTATCACATTTAACATATCTGACTTTAGTATTTAGTTTGTCGACGCCTGCACTTTATGTTTCCTAGGCCTTAATTTGTTTGAAATCTGGACGATTTGGTCAAATTTCGCAAAAATCACTATTTTTGACCTATTTGGGATGTAAAAATCAACACTTTAAAACTAAAACTTTGACAAAAAAAGTTCTATTCAATTTTCTCACATGTCTTTTTATCCCTTTAAAACATTTATTATCTTGAAAAATTAAACTTAATAATCGGGGCCAAATATGACCCTTACCGAACTTACTCCTTTAAAGGTCAAGACGGGTGGAGACTAGGTCAAGACTGGTCGAGACTGAGTTGAGATTGGTCAAGACTAAGTAGAGACTGGTCGAGACTGGTTGAGCATTTGGCAAGACCTTACCAAGATTATCAAGTACTGTATTAGACTCATTAGATTAAATTGTAGACCAAAGTCAAGTACAGTTAAGTACAGTCTAGATAATTTTGAGTCTTTTAAAGTAAAATCTGTGCTCACTATTAAAGTCAACTTTACATTGACAGCTGCAATCACAGGCGAGACACTGGGTTCTAAGGAACCCCTTACAAATTTTTCTTAAAACCATTTAAATTTGCCTTGTTTGTTTAAGACAATTATTGGTAAAGTAACATACTTAAATTAATGGGATTAGAACTTTGCCTCTCTTATAGAGAAGAAGATATCTGTAGTATGATTGCAAATCCTAATGCTAACTCTAAAAGTAAAAAAAAAATGTTTTATTTTAAAAACTTTTCCAGTTTACCCCATTTGTTTGCAGGTAATAATCGGTAAAATAACATATATATCAAAAAATGAGAACACCAGATTAGAAAAAAAAGATGTAGTATGATTGCTAAGGAAACAACTGCCTTAATAAGAACAATATTTAAACATCATCAGTGTGATATGGCTTCAAATATTGAACAAAAGAAATGACATACAGTAAGCTATGAAAGGTCCTGTGATAACAAAATCATATATTATAAGAAAGAACAAAATATGTCGACAAAAACAATCATGAATGATATGCCTGAAGGTCTTTAAAATATTGAACTTGAAGTGACTTTTCTTTGTAGGATACATAGAAATCTTGGAGGACAAATTGACGAGAGTCTTAAAAGACACAGATATGAAGATAAACAAGAGGAAAATAATGCCAAACATAGTTTATTTTGTAGTTTAAAGGACTGCAGACTTCCTGATATCTTTCAAACTGTTGTGTTTTTTGGTATAAATGTAATAATGCATCATCATCTTATTTGTATAGGCATACATCCTGAAAATCTTGTTGGTACCTTTTATCTCAGTTAATGCAACCGCTATTTATAAAACAGTGTTGTGATTGTAGTTCTACATGTGAGTTTATTAGTTAACTAGTGCGTAGTAATTGCATATATGAATTATTCTATACCATATCTATCAATCTTTGTCTTTTTAATTAAGAAATAATTTTTAAAACCTTGCTTTTTCAATCCTAGTACATCTATTTTAATTATTTTGCATAGTTTATAAGTTTAAGTAATGCCATTTTATTTCCACATTTGAATTTTACAACAAAAAAAACCATAAAGATCAGATTTATATCTTTGTTAACAGTTTATTTAATGGAATATTATATTTATGTTTAATTTGTAATATGCACTTTGCCTCATATTTTTTTCAATTTGACACATTGTCTTTTATTAATCATCAAATTTCAACAAATGTTGGAAACAAACTTACATAAAAACTTATCAAAATTCTGTGTTGTAAAATCTTAAAAATTTTCTTTTTCGGGATTTTTCCCAATATGTTTAAGAAATCTGTAGCAAAATTTTTGCTTTGTAGATTTTATTTCGGGATTTTCCCCGAAATGGGTAAAAAAATCTATGCAACAAGTGTGTGCCTGATAATAAATTTATATTTTCGGGATTTTTCCCGAAATGTGAAAATAAATTATTAGTCATGAGTTCTAGCATATACGTTGTATTTAAAATCTTGCATATAGATTTTGTTTTTTTCGGGATTTTTCCCAATATGTTTGAAGAAATCTGTAACATAAATTTTGTAAATTTGGTTCCGGGATTTTATCCGAAATGGTTAAAGAAATCTATTCAACAAAAGCATGCTTGATAAGTGATTTAGATTTTTGGGACTTTTCCCGAAATTTGAAAAGAAATCATTAGTCATAAGTTATAAGTTATAGCATATTTATATGTTGGGTATTCGGGATAATTCCCGAAATGTTTGAAGACATATATGCTTTATACATTTTACATTTAGATTATTTTTTCTGGATTTTTCCCGAAATGTGTTTAAGATCTGTTTGTCACATAGCTATGCTACCAAAAGTTTTACTAAATGTTGAAAGTGATTTCGGGGAAATTCCTGAATAAAAAATTGTCACATACATTTTTACCACAAATATTTACAACTTCCATATATTTTGGGAAATTCCCCGAACACTAAATGTAAGTTTTATCAATTATAAGAATAAAAGCATGGAAGATTGTAAACATTGTGTGTTTCTTTATGAAATCTGCATTCATTTATGGTAAACATTAAAAAAGCTTATAAATGGGAATAAAATGGATTTTACTCTTTTAAAATAGAGTCAGTTGTCTATGATCATAGTAATTGATTTTGTCAGAACCCTCTGCTAACGGAATATTTAATTTAAAAAAGTTGTGTAAAGATAACAACAAACGCGTAAACAACATTCGTGTATGAAATATTTTTTCAACTTAAAAACACCATTTGCATAAGTTTACAATTTATCTATTACATAATTAAGCAGAACAATCAGATATCAAGTTTCATTTTTTTACTGTGAATTTTCGATGTTATAAAGTCAATCTTTAACCTGGATATATAAAAACGATAGAATCTGAAGCGAGATGATGTATCAAATATTTTTGCTTTATATGTTTTCAAGACAAAATATTTATCTCAAACACGCCCTTACATAAAAAGGTGCACTCGGTTTTCTCTTTTCGATGTAATTGTTGCCCATTTTTTGAAAGGGCAGAAACGAAAATTAAGGAATACATAGATTGATATGTTCACCGTTTGTCTTATTTTTCTTTTTTTAAATCGGAACTTATGGATTTTTTAGGTCCAACTGAATAGACACCTTTATTGTCGACTTGCTATATAATTGTTCTGCTTAATTATGTAATAGATCAATTGAAAAATTATGCAAATGGTGTTTGTACAATAAAACAATTCGTAATTTAACAGAAAAATTGTCATTTCATTTGTTTCTATTAACTTTTAAAATGTTTGTTACTATAGTAAACATTACAGTAGGCATTTATCGCCTTCTCTAACAAAGAGCATCGATTCCTTTATTCTATTTCAACTGGGTTTCTGCCTATTCGGCATTTTTAAAAATTCAACATGACAACCGATCAGACAATAGTTTTAGGGGACTGAATGCAGACAAGTACAATAACTGATGCTCATTAATTAGCTAGTAGATACATTTGTCTTTTAAAATACAACTGGCATATAAGGATCGTAATGGTGCTATGTGGATAAATTTATCGGTTTCAAGAGCTAAATTGTCAGCGCGTCATCCCTACAATGGCTTTCATTTTAACGATTGTAAAAATGAACAGGCATAATGCCTAAAACTGGGAGATAATTTTGACGAAATAGAATCCTGACGGTTAAGGTTTATGACCCCTTCTGTAGCCATGTGAATTATAAAATTTACAATCAGCAATAGTATCAATCCAGCAAAGATAATGAATAATAGAGATGTGCCATTTTGTACATATACTAAGGGAAAACTTCGTGCTAAGCTTTATTTTTTATTGTTTCATTGCATTTAATAGAAAAAGGGAATTTGAGGCAAATAAAACCAAGCTTTTTGTGGAAAATCTACAGCCTTTCCCCTTGTACTCTCATATTTGGCATTTCGGTGCTTGATGAATAGAGGATTATTGCATGCAATGCTAGCAATGTTTTCCTTAAAACAAGTTTATAACCTAAGTTATTAGCTAAAACAAATATGAAGATGGACCAATTCAAGTACACCTTCTAGGGTGCGTTCGACTTTAGAGACTCTGCACGAGTTTTTTGGAACTTAAAGTTTGTTTACGACTTTTTGTAAACAATAAACGCTAGCACATCATAGAAAAACAAGTGAGTAATCTATGTTTAAAATATTATAGCTAAAATGTCTGTATTAAAGTCTGTAGATTTTCTACAAAATTCCTGATTTTATTTGCCACAAAATCCCTTGTTTCTATTAAATGCAATGAAACTATACAAAAGTTTTCCCCAGGTATATGTACAAAATGGCACATTTCTATTGTTCATTATCTTTGCTGTTTTGATACTATTGCAGTTTGAAAATTTCGCAATTCACATCGCTACAGAAAGGGGTCATACAGCCATTATACAACACTTTTCAAGTTTACATACAACGTTTTGGAAGCAAGCTTTACAAACAACTGAGATTGGCAATTTTGTAACATGTCTTATTTCAAATGTTTTGATTGGTTTATAAACTGTATGCTATTTTTGAATATCAAAGATTTCCACCCGCCAAGACGATTTGTGTCAAAAAGTAATTTTAGTCAAAAAAGTCATATACGACATTTTGGAAGCCCAGCGACGATATAGAGAAAGTTACGATCATCATTAACAAGTTACTATGATCATGGCCAAGTTACGACTATCTTATAATCAAGTTACGGCTATCATAACAAACAAAATTCTTGGAGTTATGATGATCTTCCGTAAATTTTCAATGGCTATCATTTCGGTAACAAGGTCGTATATGACATTAAGAACACACACATACAACACTACCGTACATATCAACCTAGCGGCTGAGTAATTCTTTAAAGTAACGCGTTTACACGGAGAAATTACAAATAGACGATTTTACCTGTTGTGGGCTCCGCCATGTTGGGATCACCGTAACTGCAATTACGATGATCAGTTTAACACTAGTGAAACATGCAGATCCCCAGAACATTATTAAGACTGATAAATATGTATCAAATCTTGTCGATATTTAGCGTATGTATCAAGCTATGGGACAGCACTCGTCAGTCTTATACATTATTCTCACTGAAACACTTTTATCTTTTATTCATAAAGGCAATGATGCATTTAAAATATTGGAAACTCTGTTGCTTGATTAGGAGTCGTTGAATCATACACACACCCATTATTATGCTGAAAATGCCAATCCCAATACCATTATCTTGGTCTCGTTGGTACTCTTTAAATTTCTTTAAAATAACGAAGAGTTCTGCTTTCTTGTCAAACGACTAACAGGGAGACATGAGGTTTTATAATAATCAAATCAAATATTTCCGTGATTTTTTTAAAAGTTCATGGGAATTACAATTCATTTCATCAACTATAGATAGGTCTATGTCTATTAAAACAAGAATCAGGGTTGAAGGTAGTTGTTGTCATCTAACTTTTTTTTTTAATTTTGAAATCCTAGAAAAGGTCTTCAAATGTAAAACGAGAAGCATATTAGATTTTTCATGACTACTTGTCTACGGCAATAAGCTGACACAACTGCATATTGGCATCTCGATTGTTAACCTTTTATTTACCACATGATCGTTTGCTCTCGATTTGACCATTATATGCAATAGTAAAGCGTCTATGTGAGAGAAAAAAAATCAAGGATAAACTTATTTTAAGAGCAGCATGCGCGCAACTCATCAGTGGTAGCGTTCGTTTTGTATATGTGGAAAGGTCAATGTTTCCATAACAGGAACGGGAAAATCCTTAAAATTATATTCAAATTGGTGTAGTTTAAGTACTATTTGAAGATTAATCTCCCAAAATATGGCTTTTTTTACATTTTGAATCAATGAAAATATATTCCTTCATTGTGAAGAAACAATTAAACTTTTACAAAAACTGCTAGTTTGAGTAAAAATGCTAGTTTGAGTCCTAAAAGTTTGAAAGTTGTTTACGAAACTTGACGAACCTGATGCAATTAAGAATGGGACTCTGTTATTTCTAGATAACTGTCTAGTGAATAAATATACATATTCTCTACCAACAAAAAGCTAAAAGTCAAGTCTTTTTATTAATTCATTTTGTCTGGTTTTACGAAAATATGGTGCGTTTAATGTGCAGATAACAACGTTTTTTGAAAATAAGGAAAGAAGGGCTTTATATATGAACTAATATATTGGTGATCCGTGTAAACTCACCGAAA